AAGCTCGCCCACGCTCACCTGGCCAAGATGCTTGCCTTTCCTGACCCGGCTCCTCAGCCACCTTCCCCTCGCTCTCCTCGCTTCCTCTCCCCTCCTTCAGTGAGGAATGGGGGAATATGTTCCAGGGCAGCCACTCAGTCACACCTCTATGCCCCAGCCAAGGGAGCTTGTCTGAGAATGAGCAATTGGATGCTTGCTGGCCTAGCTCTGATACAATGGAAACTCCACTGGTGCTGGAGACAGAGGCCTGGTAAAGTCTCACTTCTGCATGACCTTGGGGATGTGCCTTCACTTCCTCGGGTCTCAGTTTCTCCATTTGTAAAATAAAGGGATTGGATTAGGTCCAGCTCCTGAGAGCCTTCCTCCTCTGAGATTCTGATTCTAAGTAAGGTATCCTCATTACCAACCCTGGTTCTATAATTAGTGGGTCAGATGAAGCTTGGAAAGGGAAGGAAAATATAGAGGTGTCTGTTCATTCAACAAATACAGAACAGTACTATCTCTTGGAGAGAGAAACCCCCTGCAGTTGGTCACCATGTATGGACCAGAGCTCTGGGCCCAGGTTAAAGCCCAGAGGGGCCGGGGAGAGATGAGCACAGACTGGAAGGGCAGGGAGAGAAGAGTAGCTAAAGGGATGTCACCTCCAGGTGACAAGGGGCTGGCTGGAAACCAGCAGACCTTGACTGTGTCACCACAAGAAAGGCAACCCCTGCTCTGAACCTCAGGGCCCTCATCTGTGCAATGGGGACATCAGCCTCGATTATTCCAAGGACCTTCTTGACTTGGATGTTATCTTGAGCCTCCTATGCAATCACTCCACAAAGCAATCTGGTAGACCCTGAGGATATAAAGGCATGGAGGCAGGCCCTGTCCTCAGGGAGTACACCAGGTATAGATACAGAGGCAGATCAAATATACACAAGATGGTGGCAGGCATCAAGGGCAGAGAAGGGCAGAGACTGGCCCTTGGAGGGAAGAGGGTCCCTGAAGAAGGAAACCTGCCTCACCACTCCTGCTCTCCACTCTCACCCACACCTTACTCCTGACCTTGGTCATCTGCACCCTAGGGCCTCATCCCTTTAAATCCACTTCTTTGCCTGATCTCCCCTAGAAGCTGGCCACCCTGCCCCCATTCTCCCCTCCATCTAAAGGTCTATACCAGGCCCCTTCCCTCTGCTCCCCAAATCCTGTTCTCCCTCTCCCAAGAACTCAGCCCCCAGTCACTCCCTTGGCTCCAATCTTGGGGAGGGGGACTCATCTAATCCCACCTGTCATGTCTGGGACATCCAAGATAAGTGTCCCCTCCTTCAAGAAGCCTTCATCATTTCCTCCCCAGCGGTCTCCCTCCTTCAAATACCCGGCACCACCTTATGCCTGTGTGGATGGGTCTATCCTCCAGGCAAAGGAGAGCCTGAGGATCAAGGTTAGGACGAAGGGGGCAAGGGGCCAGGACTGAAGGGGCCATCTGCAGACAGTGAAGGAGCACTCCGACGCTCCAGCTCCTCAGGCCCCTCCTAAAATGGGGGCTAGAACCCAACACAGTGTTCCAAGACGGCCTGAGCCCGTTCCCCGGGCTTCCCTTCATTGTGGCCAAAGAGTCACATCTGGCCCCTCGCTCTGTCCTCCTGCCAGGACTCCCCTGAGACCTAGGACAGAGGCATCGGGCCTGCCATGCCTTAGATCTTCCCTACACCCCCACCCCCACCCCCACACACTCACCCCCACATACACACGCACTCACACACATACCCACACACACACTCACACATACATGCACCCCCCCCCACTCACACAGATACACACTCACAATACACACGAACACATATACACATACATTCACACACACTCCCACGCACATACATATACACTCACAATACACAAACACATATACATATATATCCATATATGTTCTAATACACACAATACACACATACTCATACACACGCACACACATACACACTCACAATATGCACACCCATACACACTCACACACACATATACATAAACACATACATGCTTACACATATATACACTCACACATACACACTCACACACATCCATACACATATACACACTCACAGTAACACATCCATACACACACAACACACATATATACACTCATACATACACACTCACACATACACACCCACACACGTGTACTCACACACAAACACACATACATATTCATGCACATTCACAACATATATATCCATAAACACTCACACACATAATATACACTCACATATCATACACACACACACACACACACACAGAGATACACTCTTGAGTGACTGTACTTTCAGGCACTTGCCCCCTGTCCCCTGCTCCTCCCCTTCTCCCCACAGCCACTGGGCCTTTGCTCTGGCTCAGGCCCACACACAGCCCCTGCCCGTGTTTTCTGGCCGCCTGGCTCCTGGCCCATTCCCTCAGGACTCAGAGAGCCCCAGTCCCCTGAGTCCCTGACCTAAGACCTGCCTCCAGCTCCTACCTGCGATGGTCATCCCCACCCCTGAGCCCCATGGTTGCCGCAGGACCCCTCCATCCAAAGCTCTCCATCTGGCCCTGCTCCTCAGCACTCCCATGCCTTAGCCCTGGTAACTTATCTGAAGAGCCATAGCTGATCCCTGCCCCTCTCTGGCCCCAGGACTGAGTCATCTGGCCCAAGGAGCCCCCACTCCCACATAAAACCACAGCATCTCAAAGCTGGCAAGGCCCTCATCTAGTCCAGCCTGTGCCAAAACAGGGACCCCCTCCAAGTGGCAATCCAACCTCCATCTGACGGGGCGCTCACTACCTACTTTACTTCAGGGCAGCTTTGGGGACAAATGGCCAAATCTGATAGATTTTCTTCAGTCTTCATCTTTCTTGGGTTTCTGCAGCTTGGGCTCTGCTGACCGTCCTCTCCTCCCAGACGCTCTCTTTTCTCTAGGTTTTCCTGCCACCGTTCCCTCCTGACTCTCCTCCTACCTGTCTGACCACTCCTACTTGGCTCCTTTACTGACCTCATGCAGAGGGCAGCACTGCTGAGCGCGTCCTGCCCTGGGCAGCTCCCTCTGAGGGCAGGGGAACCAGCGCAGGGCTTCTGTGCCCTGGCATGGCCAAGGAGGAGAAGCAGGAGCCGCCTGTGAGGAGGTGCAGATCTGGTGACTCCATGAAGCCTCCCACGAGCTGCGGCTGTCCCGTGGGCTCTGGCCAGGCTCCCCATTCTCCCGTTGTACTGTCTCACTCGGTGATTTCCTCTGTGCTTAGAAATCCAACGGTCATCTCTATGCTGATGATGCTCGGATCTACTTCTCTGCCCTCGTCTCTCTCCTGACCTTGGCATCTTACATGGCCAACGGCCCATGAAACACTTCAGGCCGGATGGCCCAGAAACACCCGAACCCCAACAGGTCCCAAACAGAACCCCTCCCCACTTCTGGCCTTCCTGACTGCTGTCAGGGCTCCTGGTCACTCAGGTTCATAAGCCAGGAGCCACTGTCCACTCCTCCTCACTATCTCTCACCCACCATTCCCCACCAGCCACCATGTTCTGGGGATTTCCTTGTCTCCCTTCTCTTCTGCCCTTGCCCCCACAGAACCTCGTCACCTCACACCTGGACTGGCAGTAGGCAAGGGGGGGGCCGTCTGCCTGCCCCCAGGCTCTCTCCCTCCATTTCATCCTCCATTCAGCCCCCAAAGGGACCCTAACCCTAAAGCTCAGGTCCAGTTATGTCACCCAGACATGCACACACACATGCACACATGCACAGATACACATGCACACACAGGCATACACACAGGCATGTACACGCACACACACACACACACACCACAATGTAACACATGCAACACATATTATACACACATGCATAGCACACACATGTACACACATGCGCACATCACAATGCAACACACATGCATTACACACGTACATGCACACACGCACACCACACAGGTATACACATGCACGTGCATACACACATGCACACACATGTACATGCACATGCACACACATGCACACACATACACACACAAACTCAGTAACCTCTAGTGGCTCCCTATGGCCTCCAGGAACAAATATAGAATGCTCTGTTTGGCCTTTGCAGCCCTTCTCAACCTGCCCGCTCCTCTCTGTGCTGTCTCCTTCCACCTCAAGACCCCCACACCCTCAGATCCAGTGACCCCACCTCCACCTTGCAGCTCTGGCTAGTTCTTTGGCCTGCCCCCATGCTCTCCCTCTTCCTCTGTCTCCCGGCTTCCTACAAGTCCCAGCTAAGATCCTACCTTCTTCATGAAGCCCTGAACCCCGCTAATGTGGTGCCTTCCCTCATTTATCCTGGATACAGCCTGCTCTGTATGTCTTTCCCATTAGACTGTAAGTGCCTCAAGGACAGGGCCTATCCTTTGCCTCACACAGGGCCTGGCACACAGTAGGTGCTTAATCAATGCTTGCTGACTGACTGGGAAGCTTTCCCTGAAATCTAGCTCAAATCTGCATGCTCCAGAAACTTCCCCTGATTGCTCCTGGTTCTGTCTTGGGGCCCCTCCTCTGTGGGATGGCTCCTGACAGCCTTGAAGGCAGGGTCCATCCATGCTCCCTCCTCTGCCTTCTCCTCTTGAGGCTACCCCACCCCCAACTCCTCCAGTGGCTCTCCCAAGGGCCTCAGCTTTCCCATTCTACTTGGGGTCTTCTGGCTGCTGTCTAGCTCAACAGCACCCTCCCTAAGACGTGGATCTAGAAAGACATGCTATCCCATGTGTGGTCTGCAGTGACCCCTCCATCTGTCCTCAGGCCTCAACCCATACCCAGCCCTTGCCCCTATTTCCTCCTTCCAGGACTAACTTATCCTCACCCTCCCAGCCCCCTGCTCTCCCCTAGCATAGGGGGTGGTAGAGACCCAACATTCCCACCCCACCCCCTCCATTTCCTAGGGCAACACCACAGCCCCCTCCCAACTTCCTCCTCTGTCTCCAACTGCCATGACAACAGTCTTGAGCAGGTTACTAGGCAACTGGGGGGAGAGAAGGAACTGCCTGCCTTTCTCCAAACACCCCAGAGCCTCTCCCCCCTCCCCAGACTGGCAAATCCACCCTGCCTTCAGGGGTCAGTGAGGGCATTGTCTGCAGCCCCACCTGAGAGAGAACTACCACCCTCAATGGTTACCCTGACCTAGTCTGAGGGGCAGGGGGAAAGGCTGAGGCAGGGCAAAGGGAGTGTGGAGGAAAGAGAGACCAGAGAGTGTCTCTTACACATCCTATGTGAGTGCCTGGAGCCAGGCAGTCACCTCCACTCTGAGGACGAGGTAAGCACCGCCTGACATCCATGCCCTTGCGTGCCGGGGACACCCCTGCATGAGAAGTGAGGAGGCTCAGATAGACCCTCCCAGCTTCACCTTAGTTTCCCTGAGCTATAACCTCAGGCAAATCCCTTTGCTTCTTCCTCTGTAAGAAGAGGTTGTGGTATGGGAGCAGAGGTTCTTAATCCGGGGTCCAAGGACCCTTTGGCAGTCAGATTTCAGGAAGTCCATGAACTGTGAAAAGATGCATCTGAATTTCAACAAAATCGGAGTCCTTTGTAATCCTGTGTGTTTCATTTCATGTATTTAAAACCATGATTCTGAGAAGGGGTCCCTGGGCTGCACCAGATTTGAAAAACAGGTCCATGATACTCACAAAAATAAAGAACTCATGACTCGGAGGGTCTCTGAGGCTCCTTCCAGCTGTGGCTTTTGGTGAATGATATGGGGGAGGGAGGAAGAGGGATATGGATCCCAATCTGTCCAAAAGACCCTAGCAGGATCCATATCTTGCGCCCTGACTCAGGGACCTACACACTAACCAGTGCTTGAGACGCATCACCTCAGATGACACTCACAGCCCTGCCTGGGAGGGTACTTTAGGTAGTCGGAGGTCCACAGACCTGAGACAACTTGTCTCTAATCACACAGCTGGTAAGTGGCTGCCACGGAATCTGAACCTCTATGCTTCTGTTGTGCACTGCTCTAATTATTGGGAGATTTTCCTTACATCTAGATGAAATCTGGATTCATCCCATTTGCACAATTGTCCCAGTTTTGCCTTTTGGGGCCATGAAAATAAATTTTAATTATAACGAACAGAGTGAAGCAAACAGAATTAGGAACACAGCATACAAAAGGAATATCAAAAACATAAGCAGAAAGAACAGCAACCACAGAAAACCCTAATGCTGAACACTGTGTAATTACAGTGACCAAGGTCGGCCCTGAGGAAAAGATAAGCAATGCCCCTCCCCCCCTTCTTTGCAAGAGTGGGAATCTCTGGGTGTGAAAGATTGCACATGTTGTCGGGTTGGGTTGATGTGAAGGGTTTTTCTTCTTTCTTTTTTTTGTTACAAGGGATGGTTCACTGGATAAGGGTAGAGGCAGAATAGTAATCTGTATTTGAAAATAAAGAGTGTAAAAACAAAAGGTATCAATAAAAAAAACATAAAATAAATAAATAACATAAAATAAAATATAAAAATTTTATTCCCTAGGCAATAGGGGCATGATGAAGAGCTGTGGTCAGTCAACTGTGACCTGGCTACCAGTAACAGCAGCTAACATTGAGACAGAGCTTTTTTTTTTTTTACAGGTTTACAAAGCCTTTTACACCCATTAACTTATTTGTCCCCCCACAATAACCTTGTGAAGTAGGTACTAAAAGTATTTTTTCTCTCCATTTTACAGATGAGGAAACTGAGGCTTGGAGAGGTTCAGTGATTTCATCATGATCACACAGCTATCATCAGAGGCAGGATTTGAACCAGGGTCCTGCCAGGCTTCAAATTCGAGATTCTCTCTAATATACCACATTGGTTCTCTACTCTTGTGTGATGGCACTATGAGGAGCCTTAGATGTGGAGCCAGAAAATGGGTTCAAAAACTGGCTCTTCCAGTTGCTGTATGACCTTGGACAAGTCTCTTCCCCTATTTGGGGCTCAGTTTCCTCATCTGTAAAATGAAGAGTGGGCTAGCTGACCCCCAAGGTCCCTTCCTCCTGGCTCTAATTCTATCATTCTGTGACCTACCCTCTGATGAGTGTGGGTCTTTGCAGGATGGAGTTGAGGAAGGAGGGAAGGAGCCTTAGCCTGTTCTGAGAAGAGAAGGGCAATTAGTTACTTGCCCCTGGACACAGGGAGCCAGTTAGCAACTTCCTGCCCAGAAAAATCAAACTGTTACCTTTAGCCAGATGACATGTGGAACATGGCTGTGGAATGCTGGAGAGATGGATTCCCCCTACCCCCTGACAAAGGCAGGTTGGGGAGTCAGCCAGTCTAGACACCTACATGGGTGGCACCTAGACTGTGACATAATTAGGGATTAAAGAAGGGAAGACAGAAGCCTGTCACCTATATTCTGGAAAGGGGAAACACAGTCACCTCTGTCCTGACACAGGGAGCCAAGTGGTCACCTCTACTCCACAAAGGAAACCTTCCTGTTACCTGCTCTTTGACACGGCCAAGGAAGCAACGGCCATAGCCTGTCACCTGTATCCTGACCTGATCCTGAGTGTGAATCATATAACCTCCTACAACAAAAACCATTGTCAAGACAGCAACACCCAATCACCTGCTCTATTAATTTATTCATTCAATACGTATTTATTAAATGTCCACTATGTGCCAGTCTCTATGTCAAGCATTTTGTAAATGTTATCTCATTTGAGGTTAACAAACCTGGGAGATAAGTTCTATTATTGTCCCCATTTTACAAATGATGAAGTTGAGGCAGGCATAGGTTCAGTAATAACAATAGTAGCTAACATGTATCTAGCGCTTACTAGGTACTAGGCATTATGCTAAGCACCTTACAGTTATCTCATTTGATTCTTACAACCCTGGGAGATAGGTGCCATTATTATCCTTATTTTTCAAATGAGGAAACTGAGGCAAACAGAGTAAATTGCCCAGGGTACCTCATCTAGTCGGTGTATGAAGCTGGATTTGAACTCAGGTCTTCTTAACTCCAGGGTGTCCATGCATTACTGAGCCTGACAACCCCTCTCCCCCGAATCACAGTGACATCTCTGCCTCCACATTGGCTGAGAATGGCAATCTCTTCTGAATTCATCAAACACTCTGTTTTGTAACTCTCTAGTGCGCTTAGGATGAAATAGTGTACCTTACAGTTATCTATGCTTGTCCTACCTTCCAGTAGACTCTAAGTTCCCTGAAGGCAAGAACATGTCTGACCTAAATTGTGTACCTTTCCCAGATCCCAGCACACTGTTCCACACTGGTCTGAGGCCAAGAGACAGAGACAAAGAAGAGAGTGAGGCAGGGTAAGTGATAAAGACAGACCCGGGCAGGCAGAGGAAAGGGAATGAAAGGGAGAGGCGCTTAGAGAGAAGAAAGAGGTCAAGAATGGCAGAAAGACCACAGAGATGGAGGAGAGGAAAGCAGAGACAGCAGAGGACAAAGAGGCAGAGAAAGAGGTGAAAGAAGACCGGACTGAAAAACAGGCATGGTAAACGTGAAATGAAGGCAGCAGTCCTGAGATGACAAGGTTCACATGGGGCCAGAGAGATGGACTAGCAGATCAGAGTCTAAAGGCATGGAAGGAGAAACAAAAGGCAACAGGGCCAGCAGGGGAGCAGTTCAGATCAAGGAAGATGGGTCAAGGAAAAGAGAAGAATGCAGCAGAAACTGTGGAGAAAGGGAGTGGAGAGTAGGGGGAGAATGACGGAGCCAGGCGACTCAAGATGCCACATTTAGACAGACGGGCAATAAGAAGAGAAGGATGAGTGGAAGAGGTGATGGAGGGGATGAAAGATGGAGATGGATGATGAAGATGGAAAGGGAGACAGAGAGAGAGAGACAAGTGATCAATAGAGTCGGATTGCAGAGAAAGAAAACGAGGCAGACAGAGAGAATGAGCTGGAAGGGGGCTAGAGGCGGCAAGAGAGAAGAGGTCACTGAATGAGAAAGTTTGCGGGGGGGGGGCAGCAGGAAGAATCCAGCTTCCCTCCTCCTCCCAGTGAAGGCCTCTTCCCAAGCCCTCTGTCTCCTTCCACAGAGCCATGAGCAAGTGGAGGACCTGTGTGCAGGCATGCCTGTGTGTGCATGCGTGTGTAAAGGGGGGGACACTATGGATAGATGCTTCTCTCTGAATTAGCCACTTCATTGTGCCCTCCCCACATGCTATGTTAATCCTTCTCTGGGCTCAGGGGAAGCCTCTGACATTAGCTGGGCTCTTACTTTTAGCTGAGTGTCACTGGCAGTGTGCTGACTGACTCTCTCTGGCTATCTCTCTATGATGCTGTTTGTATCGCACAGCACGAAGGTCTGATTGTGTGTGTGTGTGTGTGGGGGGGGCTCTATAACTTTGTGGCTGTCTAGGGGGCTGGACCAGAAAATCCCACTCTAATGGTCAATGCTCCAAGGTCCCTCCCAGCTCTGACGTTCTACTTTCTCTGATTCTCAATGTCTCTGTCACTGTCAGTCTGATAGTGAGTGGGCTGTCTCTGTAACTCACACTGTGTATGAGGCCCTCAGCATTTGTGTGTGTGTGTGTAGGGGGGGGGGTTGTCTAAGACAAGGTCTTTGTGCGTCTGGTCAAGCCCCTCTTGGCTGTGTCTGTGAAAGGCTCCGTGTTTGCCTCTGAACGGCCATACTTCTGTCTTTCTCACAATTGTTCTCTGACTCTGGATGGCTTTGGGGTCTGTAACTGTTCAAGTCTCTAATCCCACATCTGTATGTTGAGGAGGGCTGACTCAGTCTCTTTTCTAATAACTCTGTGTGAGTGTGTGAGAGAGAGACACTATGTAAGTCCCTGGAGCCTGACTGTAACTTCTCTCTAATCCTGTCTGTCTGCCCCCACCCATTTTGTGTCCATCCCTTTCTCTTTCTTTGTGACTCAGTGTTGCATGATGGAAAAATCCCTAGATTCAGAGCTGGAGGACCCTGGTTTGACTTAAGAGCCTTGGGCAAGTCACTTTCCCTTCCAGGGGTCTGTTTCCTCACCTGTAAAATGGGGTGATCATACCCATACCACTTACCTCAAAGGGTCATTCTGAGAATAAAATGTAACGTAAACCAAACTGATGAAAAGCCAGATTATTGCCTCTCCCTGTCACCCCTCATAGACACTCAATGGGCCTCTCAAAGCAGTTGAACATATTATTGAACACCTACTGTATGCAGAAGGTGCCTTCCCTACACTCCTACCTGCTGGGTCTCATCCACCCTGGGTATTTCTTTCAGTGTGTGTGTGTGTGTGTGTGTGTGTGTGTGTGTGTGTGTGTGACCCTGAGTGTATCTCTCTTACAGCGTTTCTCACTCAGTGTGTCTCTCTTCAATTCCAAATATGTCCTTCCTGTGGATGTGTGTGAGTGTGCAGCATGAAGAGAATCAGATACCACAATATGAGGAAATTCACAGAAAAGGAAGGAGGTAGGAAAAAGGGGGAGAGATGGGGGGAGCATGCTGGTCTTTGGGGACATCTGGAGCCCTGAGCTTCTAAGGGAATGGAGAATAGGGACTGGGGGACGCAGAGGCTGGGCCACCAAGTTTCGAGAGCAGAGCTGGCTGCCGGAGGGGTCCTGGAAGGGAGTCGGCTCCAATTCCTCCCAGAGCCTGCTGCTGCTGCCTCAGTCCCTGTCTGGCGGCTGCGCGGGCTGGGACTAGGCATGTGAGGCGCATAGCAATGGAGCGATGCAGAGAAGATGACTGCAGCTCCTGGCCCAGGGGGTCGGGGTGCAGGGGGCCTTCCCTCCCTGGAGTCAGCCCCTCCTCAGGGGAATTCCCCACCCCAATAAGAGGCTTCCAAGAGATAACTGTTTGGAGGGTGAAGGGAGGAGGAGGAGGGGCTGGGAGGAGGCTTGGAAGAGCATGGGGGGCAGAGGGAGCACTCTGGATGGGTCAGAGAATTTGAGAGGTTTCGTGGAGGCCATGGAGAAGGAAAAGGAGCAGAATAGGAAGATCTAGGAGGAGGAGAGTGGGGGGCAGTGAGGCCCAAGAATAGAGGAAATAGCCAAGCAGGGATTGAGGGCCTGAGTTTGGGAACCTCAAGGAGAGGAACAGGGCAGTGGGGGAGATAGGTGAGACTGGGGACCCTGGGAGAAGGGTATGGGACTGGGCAGGGACCTTGGGGAAAGGGATGAGGATGGGGCCTGGCCCTAAGGAATGACGACTGGGGCCTCTGAGGAGCGGAAAGGTTCTGGGGGAGAGTGGTGGGGCTGGAAATGAGATCCTGGGCAAGGGCTGGAAAGGCTGGAGGCGCTGGAAAGAAGGAGGGGTCCTTGGGTGAGAAAGATGGGAAGAGAGACATAGCGGGAGGTGTGGGTGCATATCTTGGGGGAAAGGGACCCTACTATAGAGTAGCTGGAGGTGCTGGACAGAGGGGCAAAGATCCCAGAGAAGATGGAGCTGGAGCTGGAGCTGGGAGAGGGATGGACCAGAAGGCTAGGACAGAGGGAGGAGAATGAAAGATGGGGAGAGGAACAGCCATGGAGAGATGAATGCAGATGGAGGAAGGGAGGCAGGGCTTGACAGGAGGGTAAGTATTGGGAATGGGAATGAAGAGATAGGGACGTGAAGAAAGAGTGACTGAGACAGGGATGAAAACAGGAAGAGAAGAAGAGAGAGGGCCATGGATGAAGGCAGGGCTTGGGCAGTGCCAGGAGCCCTGGGAAGATGGATGGATGGGGATGGAAGAAAACAGGCCGAATTTGGGGAGAGATGTGGGTAATGGAGACAGGAAGGAAGATAAGGGAGAAGGGAAGGGGTCGGGACTGGAGAGAGGGCTAAGGCTGGCCCGACAGGATGGGGCTGGGGCAAGGAATGGCAGAGGGGTAGCAGATGGGGACTCCGGGGGGGCACAGGGCCAAGGACTGAAGTGGGGAGAGGAGGTTGGGCCCCTCTCTCCGCATTTACCCCCCCACCACCTTTTCAATTCTTACTTCCCAAACTCCCCGGTTCTCCTCTGTTGCCGTGGCAACGGCTCCTGCCAGGCACGGTCACCAAGGAAACCCCGTGCCCGCCTCTCTCCTCCCCCCCTCCCCTTCACCGGCGTGCCCCCCCCAACCCCCAACAGCAGCGGTGGAGAGAGGACTTTGCCGCCCGCCCCGGAAGAGGGGGGAGCAGCCCCCAAATCGGCACAGTAGCCCACATGTCTTGTCCTCAATCCCAGGCTCTCCCTCCCCAGGCTGAGCTCGCAGCCTGCCCCCTCCCAAGGACGAGGAGGGACCCCCTCCATACACGCACACACCTGGCCCAGAATCACCTCCTTTTTGGTTCTCTAAGGAGATCCCGCCCCCCTCCCTATCCAACGCCCCTCCCTCATTAGAGGGTGCGTGGGCGCAGGGCCCCCTCCCCAAGCTACTCACAGCGAGAGGCGGGGCTCCCTCGGGGACGCTGCATGGCCAGCCCCGGGGGGGGGTCACCCCCCAGCGAGGCGCAAGGGTCTGGGGGCGGGGCTGCGGCGGGGCCGGGGTCTCTCCTCCTGCTCCTGCTCCTGTTCCTCGGTGCCCCCTCCCCAGGCGGGGCGGGGCGGGCGCGGAGGCACAGCTTGGGGAGGGGGGCGCTCTGCGCCTGCCTTCCTGGCCCCCCCCAGGGCTAGCTCCTGCCTGCCTTCCTGCCTGCAGCCTCCCTCCTTGTCTCTCGGCCGCCTGCCTGCCTGCCTCCTGCCCGCCTTCCTGGGGCCCCAGCAGCTCGGCTCTCCCCCCCCCCCCCCAGGCCCCGGCCCCGGCCCCGGCCCCCGCCTCGCCTGCCTCGGACGGTGCGATGCGGCAGCCACCGAGAGCAGCCGAGAGCGGAGGAGACGAGAGAGGAATACTGATGAAGGCGGCTACAGGAGGGAGGGAGGGAGGAAGGGAGGGAGACAGAGAGAGGCAGAGAGAGGGAGGAGAGAGAGGGAGGGAGGGAAGAGGGAGGAGAGAGAGAGAGAGAGAGAGAGAGAGAGAGAGAGAGAGAGAGAGAGAGAGAGAGAGAGAGAGAGAGAGAGAGAGAGAAAAGGGGGAGGGAGGGAGACAGAGAAAGGGAGAATGAGGGAGGAGAGAGGAGAGGGAGGGAAGAGAGAGGGAAGGAGGGAGGGAAGAGAGAGGGAAGGAGGGAGGGAGGGAGAGAGAGTGAGGGAGAGAGGTGGTGGAGAGGAGGGGGAGAGGAGGAGGAGGAGGAGAGAAGAAGAAGAAGAAGAAGAAGAAGAAGAAGAAGAAGAAGAAGAAGAAGAAGAAGAAGAAGAAGAAGAGGAGGAGGAGGAGGAAAGAGAAGTGTGTTTGTGAGAGAGAGAGAGGAGAGGGAGGGAAGAGGGAGGGAGGGAGAGAGGTGGGGAGAGAAAGGGGAAAGAAGAAGAAGAGGAGGAGGAAGAGGGGGAGGGAGGTGGAGAGAGAAAGGGGAAGGAAGAAGAAGAAGAAGAAGAAGAAGAAGAAGAAGAAGAAGAAGAGGAGGAGGAGGAGGAAGAGGAAAGAGAAGTGTGTGTGTGTGTGTGTGTGTGTGTGAGAGAGAGAGAGAGAGAGAGAGAGAGAGAGAGAGAGAGAGAGATGGAAAGAGAATTCTGAGGGAGAGAGGAGGAGCAGAGAGGGAGGGAAGAGGGTGGGAGTGGGAGAGGTGTCAAAGCAGAAGGGGAGTCAGGAAAAGGGGGAGGAGGGAGAAGAAGGGGCAGGAGAAAGCCTGGCCTAGTGCAAGGGCCAGTTGTATGTAGCCCCAGGGTTCAAATCTAACCTGGGCTACATACCACCTTGTGACCTTGGTCAAGTCCCTTCACCTAACCAGGCATCAGCTGCTTCATCTGTTTGGGAGGGGGACCCTGGGAGATGGAGATAGAGAAGGGGAAAATAAAGGAGAGGAGAGAAGAAAGAGAAAGGGAAAGGAGAAAAATATGGGGGGAAGGGGAGACACAGGAAGACATAGACGGAGCTTTTGACCTGGAAGGGACCTCAGACCTCCTCATTTTACAGATGAAGAAACTGAGGCCTGGTCTGGGGAAATGGCCCATCCAGAGTCACCCAGGAAGTCAATTAGAAGCTGACACCAGGCGCTTGTATCCCAAAGTCCATGTCTCTCCTGGAGAGACAGAGGGAAGGGGTAGCAGGGGAATGAAGGCAGAGAGAAGGGAGAGGGAAATGGGAGAGGAGGGAAAGAAAGGGATGGGAAGAAAAGCAGGAAATGGGAAGAAGCTGGGAGAGGTGTAGGGACAGGGAAAAGGAGCCGACAATCAACCAGCCTTTATCCAGGCTTGCTGTGTGCCAGACACTGTGCAAATAAGGAACAGTCCTGGGTCCCAAGAAGCTGCCAGTCTAGTGGTGGGTGGGCAAGGAAAGGACCCTGAGCCTGAGAGAGTGGGAAGGGGAAACAGAGGAGGGGAGCTGGAGGCCTGGGCTAATGGGAAGGGCAAGGGAAGCAGCCCTGTTAAAGGAGAGGAGGGAGGGAGGAAAGTGGGGGAGGGGAGCCTCCTCCAGCAGAGCCCCCCTTCTCCCTCCGGGCTGGCCTGCCCTCAGAATGCTTCGCATGTTTTTCACATGACTTTGTACTGACTTCAGGGGCCCCTGCTGAGCAGAAGAACCTGGTTCTCAGGTCCTCTGACACCCTGCCGTGTGATCCTGAACAAATGACCTAGCCTTTCAGTTGCCCAGGAATCGCTCCAAGATGGTGCTGACCTGCTCTGGCAGAGAGAGTTCCCTCAGCTGGGGAGTCCGCAGTGAAACTATGGCCCAGGCCCTGTCCCTTAACCTTTGTGTTTATAGGCACCTGTTCTATAAGCTTCTAGAAGTCAGGGTCTAACACAATTCTTAGCACACGGTCATTGTAGCCATGTGGTGCCTGGAGTCAGAAAGAGCTGAGAACAAATCTGACCTCACTTAAGTAGCCATGTGACCCTGGACAAGTCACTTAACCTGTGCCTGCCTCAGTTTCCCCATCTGTAAAATGGGAATGGACACAGCTTTGCAGGGTTGTGAATCAAATGGGATCATGTTTGTAAAAGCTTTCACAATATTTGCTATTATTATTGATACATATTGAAGGGGAAGAGGCGAGTTTAGAGAAAGGAGAAGAGAGAAAAGGGGGGGGAAGATGAAGGTGAAAAAGAGGCAGAGACAAAAGATGGAGACATGTGACTTGGAGGAAGCCAGGAGAAGCAAATTCTAATCTTTCCTCTGCTGATGACTGATTGACTGTGTGACCTTGAGTGAGTCCTCAGCCCTGGCTGGAAGATGAAGGACTCTTCTGGCTTCAGCTGCATCCTCATGCCATGGTGGTGAAAGGTCAGGGTCTTTGCTGCAGAGCCAGCAGGGAGCTGGGCCAAGACAAGCCTTATGGGAGAGGGTCCTGCAGCTGGGGAACATCGGCAGAATTAGAACCCAGGTCTCCCTGACTCCAAGGCCAGCAAGCTAGCCACTGTGATACCATACCACCTCTGTAAGGAACCAGGAAAATGTCTGAGTGGGAGACTAAGTATGACTGGGAGAGGGCAGAGACCAAAGGCTGGGAATCAGAGACCAGCAGCCACTGGAGGGGGCTGTTGGGGGAAGGGGCTTATGCTTTGTGTGGTCTTAGACTTCTGAAAACTGAAGGGGAGTGGGCTTTGGATGGGGTGATCTCTAAAGGTCTGGAGTTTGTAATGCACACCGAGGGGAGGGCTGACCCAGCTCTGCCTTGACTCACTAGGTGACCATGGGCAAGTCACTTCCCTTTCTTGGGCCTCAGTTTCCCCCTTCTGTAAAATGGGCTGAAGATGAAAAGAACTTGGAAGGTACTTCTGTGGGAAGTAGAAAGAAAGGAAGAGGGTGGGGGAGGGGGAGGAGAAGGCACAGGATCCAGGCCCCTGCCTCTCCCAATCTTCTCACTTCTGTGGGTGCTACAGATAAATATAGAGGCGTGAACTTGGCTCAGCAACTTGATGGTGGGGAGGGAGGAGGGCACTCTCAGGTCTGCAGGTAGGTCACCCTGCCCCTCTCCCATCTCTCCCCTGTCCCAATTACCAGAAGCCTGAGAAATAGGGGTCTAAAGAACTGGGGGAGGGTCCAGAGAAGGAGCTAGGGAAGGACCCAGAGAGAATCCTGGTTTTCTTCCAGCTCTTGCCTCCCCCCCACCCCCCCGCAGTGTGATGCCTGTCTGACCCAGAGCCCCATCTGATCTCAGTTTCCCTCTCAGTTGCATGAGGGGCACAGACTAGGCACCTCTAAGGCCACTTGCCCATCTGTCTTTGCCTGACTTCTTGGCCTCTCATCTCTATGTGCATCATCTGGGGTCTCCTCTGACAAGGAGGGAGCTGAACAAGGTGACCCTGAGGGGTAGCTCGGTGACCTTGGGTGAGTCCCCTCCTGGCTGGTGGGCCTTCTTCATCGATAGAATCAGGGTCAGCGAATGTTACATGACTCCGAGTCCTGTTTCCAGCCCACCCACCCCTCTTATTCTGAAGTGAAGGACCCTTTCCATTCCCACCTCCTCCATCCCCACTCCACCAACAGCTGCCGAGCAGGAACATGGGTCTTCTCTCTTGCAACCTGCACAAAGGTTCTTCGCTGCCTGGCACGTAGTAGGCACATAAAAACGTGTCATTGTATGTATGACCTATATCAGCTAGCTTACCATCTCAGGGAGGGGGGAAGGGAGGAAAGGGAGAGGGATGGAATTTGGAACTCAACACTTTAAAAAATGTTAAAAACTGTTTTAATGTGTAATTGGTGGGGAAATAAAATATTATATTAAAAGAATGAATTTGGCATTGGCTGACTGACTAAGATAAGGCCAAGGCTAAGACCTCCCTCCCCCCCAACCCCAGCCAGGGGAGGACCCTCAAAGGCAGGGAGGGGCCCAGCAGAGAGAAGATCCTTAGGGAAATCTGGAACAAGCAGAAGCCACAGAGATGGAGCCAGGAATCCTCACCCCGAGGGACCCGAGTGAGTTTCTGAGTGTGGGAAGCGCCTCTACCACTTGATAACTGTGCAGGTAAGTCACAGGTGGGCGAGCAGCCTCAAGTCCAGCTTAAAGCCTGAGGTCACAGAGCCAGGGAGTCCTCCTGATTCCAGGACTCCAAACTTGCCTCTGAGGTTTGTTCCCTGCATGGCCCTGGACAGGTCACTCACTCCTCCTCTCTAGGTCTTGGTTTGCTTCTCTACCCAAAGAGAAGGCTTTACTGAGGCCCCTTCCAGCCCTATGAACCAGGCTTCTAACCACTACCCCATCCAGCCTCTTCAACCTCTGCTCCCACTTCCCCATTGGACGGGCCCTTTGCCCAGAGCTGCTGTCCTGGTCTAAACAGGCAACTTGCCAAATAGAGATAGAGTGGGACAGCTAAGTGGCACAGTGGATAGAGCACTGGCCCTGAAGTCAGGAGGACCTGAGTTCAAATCCGTCCTCAGACCAAACATTTGGTACTTGCTAGCTGTGTGACCCTGGGCAAGTCGCCTAACCCCAATTGCCTAAAAAAACCCAAACAAACAAACAAAAAAAGAATAGAGATGCAGCTAGCCCTGGTCAGGAAGACCGGTTCAGGTCCCACAACTTGACCCACGCTGGCTGGGTGATCCTGGTCTAGTCACTCCTGTCTCAAGGCTCCAGGCAAATCTGCCTCAGTACAAGACATTTCCTTGCTAGGAGTTTCATGAAGTCAACCAAAAAGACCACTCTTCTAAGGCAAAAGCCATTTCCTCTGATCCTTGAATGGCTCAGTGACCTCCTTCATGCAGGTGCTGGCTTCCACAATGGAGATCACACCTTCCCCACAGCTGTCCACCTTGCCCAGTTTCCCTCCAGATACTCCCCAAACACACTGCCAGTGGGCACCATCCCATGTTCTGGAAGGCCTTTCTCACAGTCTTGGGGCAGGGGGTGGATGTCAGCCATCCAGTGGTGATCCCTTACTCTCTCCATGACCGGCTCATCCTTCTACTTGCTCTTATAGCTCTCTGATGAGAATACATACGCTGTGCCTTTGAATTCCTCCTCTGTGACACACTGCAGCCTCATATGACCACCATGCCTTTCCCAAGGCCCTTGGGTGAGCCTCCAGTTACACGTCTAGACACCATACACCACCCCAGGAACGCTGCTGTTAAAAGTTCAGACCTTTGTTTTGGGAAGATGCCCCAGATAACTCAAAGAACTGTTCCTTTTCTGAAAAGCAATGCATCCCGCGCTCTCCTCCTTGTTCAGTTCTGAGCCCAGCTCAACAACCTCTTATCCAAGGTCTGTGTTAGTGATAGACCATTTCTGTGGGTCATCTGATCAGCTCTTGTCTCTTACCCAGACTCC